CGGTTACAGCATTGCGGGTATGCCCGCAGACGGCAGGCACGCCTGACGGCATCGTTCAGCGCTGTGTCAGGGATGTCTTCCGGTGCTGAGACGGCATGTCAAAGCATGCACGATAGCCTTTACTGTAACCCTTACTGCACCTTAAAACTTTGCATGCACGGTAACCCTCACTGCCTGCAGGAGCACCGCATCCGTATCGGTGTGGGCTACACATATCCGCTCCAACCCTCACCGGTACTGAGATGCACAGCGTCCTGTTCTCAATCAGTGTACCGAGATTGGCGGATGGCACGGCGTACAGCCAGGCACCGCTCTAAGAAGTACCGGTGCTCAGCAGTCGGGCTCTGGCAAACTGGTGAGTCTCCGAAAGCAGAGAGTCGTGATAGCGCTCTGCGAGGCCGGAGTCCCATGCCCGCTGCTGGCGCCTACCGTCACTTTATGGCGCTTCTAAATCGCCGTCCTCGGCTTGCCAAACGGGCTGGGATGGGTTTACTTTTAGACCCAGTCCGGAAGCAGTGATAATGTATAAAAAATTAGTGATCGCCAATACTTTTTTATATATTATTTTTCAGTATAAGTGAATAATGTGACAGTGCAATTATCTTCAATAGACTGCAATGCGTCCGGACATCGCTCCCACCAATCGGCCTCATCGTCTAACAAATACCACGATTTGTCCTGACATGGCTTCCACCAATCACGTCGCATCACTCTAGTCGAAACAAAGAACTCGATTCCGACTCCCGCTCACGAACTATCAATGCGGAATCAATTCAACTTTGACTTACGTAAATGCGCTGCATTCGGAGCGGATTCCGCCTTCACCTACAGCCAGCTGACAGCCGACGCTCGGCTGGAACAAATCTTCGTGTCGTCACATCTACAATACACAGACATTTACCAGGTCTTGCCATGACTTTGGATTGAGATAGATGGATATGCAACACCCATACGGCACGCGAAGTCACGACGAATCGACGTTAGTTTCGGTGCTTTGATCTGTGCACCTTAATATGACAATTGCTAGACTATTGCACACCATGAATCGGTGAAAATACCCATGTATTGTACAGGCGGACTCAGGAAACACAGAGGCAGACCCAAGGGAACACCCGATGAATCGACTCCGACCTGGGCAATTTCAAACAAATTGCGTGTAGATAGCAAAGCGGCTATGACGGTCTAGCGGGCTTTAGATACTGACGGATTGGTTACAAGAGCTTGCAGTGACGGTGTCAGGCACACATTTATTGAGGTAAGAGCGGAAGCTGTGGTGACGCGTAGCTCAAAGTAGTCGTAAACACGTTTTTCTCAACAACTTTGTACATGCGCTATCCAGCAATAACCTGGGATACTGCCGGAGGCTCATACGAGTATAACAATAGTATGGCTATATAAATGCATATAAAGGCAACGGATGAAATGCGACGCTCCATTCAATATCCAGTGTTTCTCTACTCCCGTTTGCAAGATACTACATACGCCACTGGTCCAAAAATGGTTTAAAAAATACTTACTTTGGGCTTGCCATAGCCACAACGTTCGAATGCAGGGGATGCCAATACCTTATTCAGACGGCGCAAAAAGTTGAAAATTGTTCCATTTTTTCCTTAAGAGGTCCTTTCCACGAATTTAATCGGAGAGAAGCTAGCTCAGGCTACAGGCTTTTGTTCCAGACCATGCCCTAATCGGTTCAATATGTTCAGAGACCTCAGAGGGTGAATCGAGCGAGGATTTCAAGCAGCATGAACCGCTTGAAAATGTGATTAAAATATGGCAAGCTCTTGAAAAACAAAACGGGGAGGGGCAGATCACACGACAGCACGCGACCTGAAAGGACAAGCCAAATGAGCAGAATGAGCATATTGGACTAGACGTGGTTCACCGCCCGGCGCCCCTAGCAACCCGATACTCAGAACAACTCAGGCAGTCAAGAAAGGGCACAACGCCCTGGCAACTGACAATTTTTTGGAGTTTACCACGAATTCCGTCCGGCTGCAGTTCGTATGTGCAGGCCACGCCCGTGTCGCGCAGTGAGTGCCGAGTAGCCCCTCGACCGGGCCACTCAAGCTGTGACCGCGGCCCGGCGCCGGGGACAGCGACCCTGACCAGGGCGACCTTGGTGCCACGGACCACGGCCTAATGGGCCCGCCGTTCCACCGACTTGGGACGGGGCACACACCCGCAACATAAACAGACGACTGTTTAAACATTACGCCGCACTCCCGGCCTGTACGGAGGCCAGCCGGCCCCGACACCGGACGACGTCCACGGGCAGCGGGCGGTGACGTCGGAGTGACGTGAAGCGAACACAGCACTAGGAGTTGACAACTGGGTAGTCAGAGCGCGGCCTTAACGAACGCGTCTGGAAAAAAAATCGGAAATGAATACATAGGAGATGGCACGCAGAGGCGCTTCGGTTGAAAGAGTTTTGTACGGCTAGGTGAATAATTTCGTTGCAAATAAAAGACAATGTGGAAATACGTGTTTCAATCTTGCAGTGTCTGACGACCTAGGATACACATTTGTGCACGTACATGACGGCAATGGTGCAATATGCCGCCTCCGTGGCCTAGGGGAAAGGTTCAGGACCCGTAATCCAGCGGCGCTGGGTACGAGTCCAGATCAGGCGCAGTTGTTTGGCCCTACTGAAGTGGAAAGGTCAGCTGGCAACTGGCCAACGAGGTTCAACCCAGGCCCGGGGCGGTCGTGTCGCAGCATTGTGCGGCACGTAAAACCCTCCGCATTCCTGTCTGGCGCAAGGGCGAACGCAAAACTATCCGTTGAACTGGACGCTATGACTTGGGTGGTGCGTTCAGGGTGCATGCAATAAGCTATGCTTAGCAAGTATTATGAACCCAAAGCCATCCATACGAACCATTCAGAATGAATTACAAACCACTCAGAATGAATTTCAAAATCACTTTTCCCAGCCATGACGCGGTCGTTACGAAATAACTTTGGAACGGATGCTCTCATGAAGCAAAGCTTCTCACTGCATGTACCCTGAACCCACCACCTCAGTTGTGCTCTTCCATTTCGCGGGGATAATATGCCCTCTGCCATATTTTAGACGGACAGGTCCTTTTTTGTTGCCGCACCATGTTACAATCCGCCGCCCGACGTCCCGCCAACCCCTTAGAATAGTTGCTAGCTCTGCTGGTTCATGGCCCCATCACCAAATTGTCCCAGGTAAGCAGGCCTCAGGGGTTCTCGGAGACCTCTTCACGTGTCGGTTTTATCTTTAGCCAAGATTCCGATGCTCAACAACATACATTGCGGATGGTCTGCATTGGAAGTTTGGAGCTCGTTCATGAAGGTGGGTGAAACAAGAGCTCACAGCGTGGACCCAGTGGTGCAGGCAGCGGGAAGGGGGGGGGGGGCAAGCCGGCACATGTCCCTCCCCTAGGTCTTCAAGGGCCCTGCGGGCCCCTCGGGATAAGCAAGGGCCTGGTTTGAGGGACGTGGCCGGAGATCGTACTAAGGGGTTTCGGCACGCAAGGCTGGGCGCTCAAATACCAGTTTGGGGCCCTTTGCCCCGACTGCCCCCTCCCCTCAAGTTGATGCCCCAGCCGACCTTCAGTCGCTACTTACGACGCAAGCAATAAAAACAGCATCATCCGTCTTTAAATGGCGAGCCACTCGTAAGGTAACTGTCGATCCGACCACTCGGAAACGTGCATGCTTCAATTCAGACCTCACTGCTGCCCCAGCCGTATACTGCCATCCAAATATACAGCCGTTTAACTGGTCACAGCGCCGGAAAAAATCAAATCCCATTCTAGCCCCGTAAAGATACACTTGCGCACATTAAACTTCGCTTATATCACCTCGACACCACGCAGTGAAAACAGGCCACCACATCATCCTGAACTGGGCCAAGGCAAGGCTTCAGCAGCGATCGGACCACACCGAACTTTTCACTTCTCGAAATCTAAGAGGTGCTTTATTAAAACCTACCGTCATCCGTCAATCCAGGATGAAATGACCAACACATTAATGCAGATGAAGATGCATATGAACCATCTTTTCAAAAGGTCTGTGGTTCTTCATCTACACATATTGGAGACGACAGGCCGTAACCAATCCCTCTCACCAGGCATGCCGCGCGTACAATTTGCACACAGCGCCGCACGTGTCTGTGCCTTCTCTAGTTCCGGATGACATATTGACACAGGACGATGACAAGTTTTTTTAATACTTCAAATTACATGTAATCATCTTGGACCACCTCACATTACATGTTCATCAGCTGCTGTGAGCTCCAAAAATGCTATAATGATATATCCATTCAAATTATTGGAGCTCCCAATCACGCTTATCACCAGTCAGGTACTGCTGTGGGCATTCTGCTTCTGTTCCTTGTGGCCAAGCTGGCATGTACATTTCATGCTTCTACAACCTCAGAGGCATTGTTTGCCAGGAATCTGATAAAATATTGTCTTGGTGCAACCACCAGCAGGCTTCTGGGCAGTCGTTAGAGTAAGCATCGACCAATCAGTTGAAACTGTAAAAGCCTCAATGACAATGACGAAAAAGTCATTTATCTTATATGAAGTTGAACTTTATTTGATCACCATAGGAAACAGGCATGGTGAGTGTGGTTGCTCTGGAAACAGCTGCCCACCCATACACAACACATATTGTGTATTGCGTGAATCTTAAAGCTTTCAACAGTGTGTGCTATTGACTTCACCATACTGACAGTGTCAGGAGTTTCCAATGTCTGGGGAGAAGCTCAATGAAAATGTTTAAGCTAGGCATTTGTTGTAGACTTCTCAAATGATAATGAGAACAACTAGATGAACCTCACACATGCAGCAGCATGTTCACTAAAAGCCATAGAGAGAAACATTGGCAGATCTTGTCAAAAACACTAATGCATGGCAAAATAATTTCAGGCAGCAGGGGGTTACATCAACTGCATCTGAGAGCAACAATTTTGTCAGAGCAAGCATACATCTGAGCTTTGTCTGCTAACTGCATGGCTGACTTGTTACCTGAAAGGTGTGGTGGAAGATGAAGCGTGTCTTGATTGGAGAAGCTGATTTCTGAACAGTTGCCAGCATACCCCAAAGTTTTTCTTTATCACAACCATGTTTTTATGTCTTGGGCAAACAAGATAACTGAAAAATCAGGATTAATTATTAAAATAAAAACATGCAACTGCATGGCATACACCATCCAGCAATAAATAATACTTATGCATGTCAAAAGCCTTACATTAGCAAATATAAAACAGTACATAATGGCGCCGCGACACCGGCGCCATTACTGCGCGCAGTCACATTACTGCGCGGTTAGGTTAGGGTAGGGTAGGGTAGGGTAGGGTAGGGTAGGGTAGGGTAGGGTAGGGTAGGGTAGGGTAGGTTAGGTTAGGGTAGGGTAGGGTAGGGTAGGGTAGGGTAGGGTAGGGTAGGGTGGGGTAGGGTAGGGTAGGTTAGGGTAGGGTAGGGTAGGGTAGGGTAGGGTAGGGTAGGGTAGGGTAGGGTAGGGTAGGGTAGGGTAGGGTAGGGTAGGGTAGGGTAGGGTGTAGGGTAGGTTAGGGTAGGGTAGGTTAGGGTAGGGTAGTTTAGGGCATGACCTGGACTATGCTGGCCTGTGTGTTTCAAAAATGTACCTAAATGCAATAAGAAACTATTTCCATTGCATTATTATTGTTACCTTGGTCCCAAACATTTTTATGGTTCTTGTTAAGCAGAAATATTGTAATTACGCAACAACGCAGAAACGGCATTGGGCGTCGAGGCGGTGTGGTGAGTGTGGTGCGCGGGAGCTCACTATCGTATTTATTAAAATTTGAAGGTAGGAGCATGATTCTGCCTGTCTTGAGATTATTTACAATATGTTCCACCTTAAACATGACAAATGATGTACAATGATTTTCCCTAATGTAGGTAGCAAAGTACACCTACACCAAATAAATAATTTAGATAAATATAGAAATAAATAAAAGTCTAGAGCAGCCTTATTGAAGAGAAGATGTGCACTTCTGCTGCTAAGAGTAATGCAAGTTAACAATGAGGCATGAAAAATATGGTGGGCAGCTTCAAAAGCACTACTGTCCTGTTAGCATTGCTTGCATAAAAACATCATGCTTGACAGGAGAGCATTTCCATAAATTAAATCCACATGACTTTTGGTAGACACCATTCCACTGACAGTTTATGCTGTTGTGCAAAATTAAATGCAACATACAGTTAAAATCGGTTGCAAATTCAGGATCAAAGCCATCTCGCAACATACCTAGTCACCATTCTGCAAACATTTAGGTGCGTCTAGTAACAATCCAAACACGCAAGACATCAAAACCTTGTTTACTAATGTTATCCTATGACGATAACTGAAAATATCTTGGAAACGAACCGAAACCATTACTTTATCCTTGAAACATCTCTGAGCTCATTGGATTAACCCCACGACGGGCGACTTACGAACGCACACAGGGCAAACAAAACTATGCCTGATTTCAAGCCAGGCGCAAAAAAGCCCAGCCGCTTATTTGTATTGCATGCGCAATAATAGCTGCCAAATAGCCAGAAGCGTTCGCATTCCAAATCACATAGCTTGAGCTCATTATCATCACAGACGTATGAAAAGATTTTAAATCAATGCATTGCCCCTAGCTAACTTCAAGTAATGCTAAAGCATACTTTGCATTAGTTTCTAAGAATAGTTTTATTTCTTTCATATATTATGTCGATTCTTTCCATCCATCTGTGTTGCATACATATTTTTGTGCGCACACGGAATTTTAGGTGCTGTATTCGCCATATTAACTGATTCCGGTGGTTATAACTTATGCGAGATATCTTTGGCACCAGGCATGTATAAGATATGTATCTGCGCTGGTATCTTTGGCACTAGATATGTTTGGTATTCGCTATCGCTATCTTTAAGCTCATACTTTTCATAGCGGTATTGATAGGGCTCTTAAACACCATGAATTTGCCGACCCATCTTATTACTAGCTGTGATTGGTAAAGAAGGCTGCTGGATTTGCTCAAGTTGATTATTTCCGAACAGTGGATCGAATCAGCTGATCATCACTCATTCAATAACCTTCGACGGTGCTGACCCGCAATCTCTCTAAGCGCCGTATCAGCGTAGAAGTAGGTTGGGGTACCGTTTGTGAAGGTTTGCGTGTACGGCGGTAGTTACCGTCCCGTTTTCCCCCACTGACGGAAAGGCCTCGTATCAAATGACCACTTGACTGAAGCTAGAAAAGCTATATGCGTTTGGTTTTCGAGTGGTGCGAGTATTCTTCCAAGGAACTAAATGACCGACTCTTGGTGCCTTCATAAGTATCAGGGAGGCACGCCGCAAAAAAAAAAAAACGCATGGTACCAGTATCTGGAGGGCCATGGTGTTTGCTGGGAATTTTTGCTCTGTTAATATTGCACCCCAAGGTAATAATGGAACCAATTTCCAGCATTGTACTTCAGTACAAACTGAGCTGATGTATATAAATGGAATTACCCATTCACAAAATGAGGCGGATGCCAAGCCTTGTACCAAGACAAAAGAAACTGAGTTGTACACTAGCTGTAGAAATGGCCATACCAAGGAAGCATGCTGCTTGCGTCAAAGGCAACTGAACCAGAACCAATATATTTTTGCTCATGTACAAACTGAGTTGGTAGGTATTGGGTATAAATAGAATTATCCTTTCATAAATTATAAGAGTACAAAAATTTTGCTTCAACCTGGCCATCATCCTTACAATTACTTCTTATAATACAAAAATACAAAAGGTAACAAATTTGTTTGACTCTGCCTGGTGTAATGTGCTGGTCTGGTATACCAGCATTTTTGGGTCAAAATTTCAACTTTGGTGCAATCACAGTCAAGGCTGATTGAGCCTGGTTGGGAAAAGATCTATAATTTGGTTCTCACAATTTTTATATGAGTTTCACTGATGGATTGGGGCAGCAAAGCTCTTCCTTATGATTTATATGATATCAATATATTTTACCCTATCCTTCAGTGACATGTGATATCAAAGAGCAGCCATTGTGACAGTGATAAGACACTGATGCTGAGTTGTTTTTTTTTTAGTAAGGCTCTGGTTCAGAGCAGTAATGCCCCTCATGCACCTGGTACAGCCCACAGATGGTAGGCTGTATTTTGTGTGGACTGGTGAGGAGGTAAAACCAAACTTCTTAGGAATTATTCTGATGTGTAGTGAGAAAATTCAACCATTTATAGTGGTTCTCACTGGTAACCATAGGGAACATCAGAAATGTCTGCCATTATCACATGAAATCCTATTGATTGCTTAGTGTCTCAGGTACACCAGTATCTACACGTTAGCACTTTGTTAGATATCAGTTCTTTTGACCACAAGCTAGCAATGCGTGATATATATTTAGGTACACTGGTTCTGCAGTGTAGTTTTTGACCTGTTTTAAGTCCTTTAATATGAAGTTTTGGATATTTGTACCAGTTACAAAACTTTTGGAATGGGATAATGTAATATTACAAAAATGTATATCACAGGCTCTAAACTAATAGCTACACAGTTGAGTATTATTCACGTAATCAGGTTGTTTTAGAGCCTTTGGTTAGGGAGGAATTATTTTGAAGCCAAGGTCCATTCAATGTCTGACGACTGCAACTGGCACTTGTTTTTGCACTAATCTTGCCTTCTGTAACCTGGTGTCATGAATTTTGAAGGCCACAGGCCAGCTTAAGCCTATTCTTGACAAGATTACTTTACTTATATTTTACCAAACATGATAGGCTGCCATATTTTGAATAAGGTCATTTCAATGCACCCAACCCAGTTCTTAGAATGGTTGATAGTCACAGGCATGGGCAGCATGATGTGGCAGCCAACAAGGAATTCCAGTATGTTCTCTGGAGATACCCAAGGGATTTCTGGCTCAGGCCTTATTGTTATGCTGGTGATCACAGCTTACTGATATGTTCCAGTAAGGCTGGAACCTAAATCAGTAGATTATTAGTATTTCATAAACATCATGAATGCTTTAGGTGATGTGTGTTTCCAGGCTATGCTAAGCTGACTATCACAGTGTATTGCATGAGTTGTTAGGCAAATTGTGTACTTGTTGAGAATAAATTTGATGTTATATTGGTAATGGTAATTTATGTTTTGCCATCTAGATTGATATTTTTATCTAACAATGGTTTTCCTGCAACAGATCACAAAGAAGCAAGTAAATCACAGAGGCCAGAATGTCATCCATTACAAAAGGTAAGTCAGAGTCTACCCCTGAGAATGTTATAATGATAATTATTAATACCATCAGTGCAAGATATTATGATTTATATTGTGATGAGTCATATAATCACAGCTCTTGATCTATGCCAGGTGGTGCATCCTTAACCTGACAGTGTTGAAGTGATGACACTAAAGCTGTCCTGAGCTGTTGTCAGTGATGGCTGGAGGACAAGGCAGGGCTTGTGGGAATGGTGCCATGTATTATATGGGTTTTGTGTGCAGCCTGTCATCTAACTAGTGGTAAACCAATATGATTTTCATTGGTTTGGGTTCAGAATCAGGACCTATGATCATACCACTGACAATACCTGAATGTAGACCAAAGCAAAAGGAGTGTCAAAATTGAGCATACAGTTGTCACAAGGATCTTGGCATGGCACACCTTGAGTCAGCCACTGTTTGATAGCCCCAGTGGCAGTATCTGCTGACCAAATTTTGGTCTGTTAGCTCACTATTTCCAGCACTCTGAACCAGGGATGGTGATAAGACTGGGTTCTACTTCAGCTTTGTACAGTTGTGGTTTTCATCCAATAATCCTGGTTTTAGCTATATTAAGTAAGCACGCAAAACGGTAGCACCTCTTCTGAATCACAGCACCACACTCCTCTCGTGGTCTTGATTTGACTTCGCCTAACGTCATCCCTGGCGATTTGGTTTTGGCTTCATGTTGCCTAAGTTTATGGCTACTGACCTAAGCTTTGGCTCTCGTTATTGCTTTTTTTACTTGTTTGTATTTGGCTACGAGTCTACGGGATTTGAATTGGGAGTCGCAGTTTCAAACTTCAAAAACCGACGGCCTCTTTTTCGACTTTGGCTTCATGGCATTGCTGTGACTCGAGGTTCGACTTCGAAGTCAGCAGCTGGGCCTTGCCCCACACCTGCTTAAAAGACACCTAGTTCAAAGTTTTGCACACGCCTTTGTGACGTGGTCAAAAACAATATATTCTGTATGGGGGTAACAACATGGGCCGCCCGCAATGCAGCTCAGGCCGCCACCTGAGCTGGGGTCATTAGCAGCCTCCATTTGGCCCGAGCTCCTCACTGATGGAATACTGCATTGGTGTCATCAATTGTCGCCATTGCAATAGCAACAGACTTCGGGCATCATGCACAATAACACACACACAATATCATGTGCATGATATGCACAATAGCAAATTGTTGAAAGTGCTCCTTGCCCCAATATGTCACGTCGCAACTCTATGTAAGCAGCTTCCCCTGTAGCAAGGCCGAAATGGTGCGTCAAACATTATTGACCCCCCCCCCCCCCCCCCCCGTCTCGTCCTTACCCGTGTCGCAATTTATGAACAGCCTGCTTAGTTCAGTAAGATATGTGCTGATGCCTCTTAAAGGAGCAAATAATGTAGCTTTTTGACAGATTTGCGTATGTGATCCATGCCAGTCGGTGGACGTTTTGTGCAGACTTGACGAACGCTACGTCTCCATGCCTCGAGTTGGCACTAGGATGCCTGTTTGTCCGAAAATGCGCCACGAAGAACGAAGTCCGGGAACTTGAGTGTTGTCTAGCCCGGTGGTCCAGTGCGATGGCATAAAACGAGTATTGCCCTCCGTCGCTTCCTGGCACGGCGAAGACTTATAAGATGTAATGTGCCAGGTGAACATGCTGTTGGTTTTTCGCCAGGCATCTTTATTGTCGGCGCCAAGCGCACGCCCTTCGGAGCTTTCTGCGGCAAGCTGTCCAACAAGACCTGCACGGACCTACAGGAAGTGGCCGCCAGGGCGGCGCTACAGGCGGCTAAGGTCAAGCCGGAGCTTGTAGACTCTGTGGTCATCGGCAATGTTCTATCCGTAAGTAGAATGCAAATCATGCATTGATAAGAGTTTGGAAAATGTAAGGGCCATCATGATGTCTCCAAAGCTAAGGTGCATTAATTGTGCACCAGATTTATTGGCGATCACAATGGATTTTTAAGACAGCCCAAATTCAATATAATTTTTTTGCACTCCACTGTTTATTTTTTATAGTTAAACGTCAAACTTATTATTTTTTATGTGGAATGAGTATGAATAATGTGTCAAGCGCCCTGTTCGTCCATGGAAAACAAGCAGAGTGGTTATGACAATTGGTGAGCAGATCTGTTCGGAAGGGCCGCAGATCTGTGTAGAAGACTATGTCTTTTATGCGAAGTTTAAGTATGGTTCGTTTATTCGTATGTGTGGATTTTAAAGACTGGTAGTTGTCAGATGGGATTCCTGCCGGATTTATCAATGTCATCGTCAAAATCATATTTGCGTTGATGACTACGGCATACAGTATCAATCGCTTACTCTATTTGGAAGTCGGAAGGGGGGGGGGGGGGCGGTACATCTTACTTCTACTTCACTGTGCAGAAATGTTGTCACGCCAAGTAAAGATTTTTAAGTTATGGGACTATTATAACTGGATCGACGGCATTAGGATGTTTGGAGCGCTGATGATTAGCACAAATGCCGTCATAAAGCTCAGAGCAGTCATTAGAGGGGTCGGCGAGATGTGGTCCTCTTGTTTCATGGTTTCTGTTGATACGGAAAGTCCGCTCTACAATTAATTGACTTCCTAGAATTTGATGTACTTGGTAAAAAAGTTTTCATCTGCATCGTGTGATTTAAATCGTTTTTGAAGCGCGCTTGAATCATAATGCTGAATTTCTCGTGTGGTGCGTTCCATGGTTGGAGGCGAAACAGAGGCGAATGTCGTGATTCGAGTCCCTGACCTCTTGGACTGCACCGAGACCGTATCTCAAATTGCTCGCATCAGCTAAAGCCGATAGGCCACCTCGCGCTCAGCGCTGCGAACGATAACAAACACCCGAATTCACGGACCATCGCGATATCGAAGCCACCGTTACGTCCCTCCAAGCATACTTATCGCATACCGGCCTCGGGGTTATAATCATGGGCGTAAGATGGGGGAGGGGAAGGGGTCCGTCAGTCCATTGGCGTCCTTTCTTTTTGAGAATGCTGAACATTGGCGCTGTGCCGCCACATGGAAGAGATCAACTTCAGATTTGGTTTGGAACGCCCACTTTCTGAGACGTTCCTTTGCATATGGGTGGAGTATGAGAGATGATCACTATAATGGTCAGCTTGGTCAGATGACCAGCATCTCAGGTAAACACACGTCCTGCATTAAGATGTGATAAGTGTGCCTAAATCTGCAAACGTATGACTTGTTCAGAATGTGCAAGCAGGACATTTTTTATTCAATCAAAACCCGTGGAAATGGACATATTTTATGGGATTAGAGCTCGCGCTAGGCAATGCTTGTTGGGTGAGCCCTGACCCCCACCAGCCGATTGTGAAATTCCGTGCCAACTGCAGAATGTTGTGGCGAAAGCAACGCTCGGCACGTTCCTGGCGTCACCTGGCCTTTGGCGCGGCCCAAGCCACCGGCCGCAGGCCATCGTGACGCGAAGATGGTGAACGACTACGGCGATTCAAAATCGCCCCGCCGTGGGTGGGCGAATCGGAAGATAGGCTCTATAACGAACTGGCCTATCGGGGCGGACAGTTGTTACGTTGCTTGAAGTTTCCATACACTTCGGTTGCGATAGGCTAGGACAGGGCGCGACTGCTGCGGCGGCTGACGCTGTGCGCGTCCTCTGCAGTGTTCGTCGGTGGAGGCGCCGTACATCTCCCGACACACGGCCCTGCGGCTGGGCTGCGACGTGGCCACACCGGCGCTCACCGTCAACCGGCTGTGCGGCTCCGGCTTCCAGGCCGTCGTCAACGGCGCGCACGTGAGTGCCGGCCGCGCGGGGAGCGGTCCCGCCCGGCGCCGGTTCGGAGTCCGGCAGGCGGCGAGGCGTCCCGAGCGGCGGGGCGCCTCTCCGCTATGGGAGCGATTTCGGCTCCGCTCGTAGACCCCGATCAGTCGGATGAGGCCCGTGGTCGTGGCCCCGCTGAACGCACGGTTGCAGCCTGCAGTGCACTCCGAATCACGGCCGGCGTCAGAGCGGAAGCCGTTTCCTGCCTGGGGTCGTCCGGCGTCGCGCCCCATCTCGACTCGTCTGTTGGTGTACCCCACACCCGCCGCCCAGCCCCGCCCTGCCACGCCCCGCCCCGTGCGGTGACCGCGAGCGCCGCCTCCAGGACATCCTGATGGGCGACTCGCGCGTGGTGCTGACCGGCGGCAGCGACAACATGACGCAGGCGCCGCACGCGGTGCGCGGCCTGCGTACGGGCGTCAAGCTGGGCACCAGCCCCCAGCTGGAGGACATGATGTGGGAGGCGCTCACCGACCAGCACTGCCGCACGCCCATGGGCGTCACGGCCGAGAACCTGGCCGAGAAGTACGGCATCACGCGCCAGGACGCCGACGAGTTCGCCATCGGCTCGCAGCAGAAGTGGAAGGCTGGTGAGTCATGCGCTGAGGCTCCGTAAGACGCTTGTGTAGACATTTGTCGTTAGGCGTCTGTCTGCTCCCGCCCGCGAACGCACAGTGCTGCGCGCTTGACTGTCGTGGCAGTGGAAGACCGTGACTATTGATTCCAAGTGGCGGCGTGTGAGTTGGACCGCGATTCAGGGGGTCTTTGAAATATATTTCGGGGACCAAGCTCCTTCAGAAAGGTAGCAAGCCCCACCCGCTCTACTTATGAGGGTTTTCTGGCCTCGAACAGCACAATTTGTTGGTCTACGTGAAAGATCCACTCTGCGGAATATGCCAAGTCGTTATCATTTGAATATTTATAATTTTTTTCCTTCTTGTCGTTTTGACTAACACTTTCTGCTGGTTAACTCTCCTGTAGTGGTACAACTACCATGTGTTAGAGCTTCCAAGCCAGCGACGTATTGTGGTACGCTCCCGTTCCTGGCTCCGTCGCGTCCGTGCCTCTACCCGTGGTGTATCGGTTTCCTATATCCAGGGCCGCCGCTGTAACCGTGCCACGGCCGCCGCCGGCCGCAGCGCACGACGGCGGCCTGTTCCAGGACGAGATGGCGCCCGTCACCGTCAAGGTGAAGCGACAGGACACCGTCATGGACATGGACGAGCACCCTAAGCCGCAGTCGGACCTGGCCGGCATTGGCAAGCTGCCGTCCGTCTTCAAGAAAGGCGGCACGGTCACCGCGGCCACTGCCTCCGTGAGTGGTGCCTGTTGTCCTCACCGGTCACCGCCTCCGTGAGTGGTGTCTGTTGTCTTCACCGGTCAACGCGGCCACTGCCTCCGTGAGTGGTGCCTGTTGTCCTCACCAGTCACCGCCTCCGTGAGTGGTGCCTGTTGTCCTCACTGGTCACCGCCTCCGTGAGTGGTGTATGTTGTCCTCACCGGTCACCGCCTCCGTGAGTGGTGTCTGTTGTCTTCACCGGTCAACGCGGCCACTGCCTCCGTGAGTGGTGCCTGTTGTCCTCACCGGTCACCGCCTCCGTGAGTGGTGTCTGTTGTTCTCACCGGTCACCGCCTCCGTGAGTGGTGTCTGTTGTCCCCATCGGTCACCGCCTCCGTGAGTGGTAGGATCGGGCGGGCCGGCGGCGCTGACTTGACGACAGTCGACTGGAAGGTTCGGGAGTGCGTCCCATGTTAGGGCGAGCGGGGAGTGCACGTTTGGCTCGCTCATTGCGACATATGTGTGGGGCCCAGTCAGTTGTTTGTTTTTTAGTGTTTTTTTTTGTTCTGTCCCGGTCTGTTTCAGACCGAGGGAAGGAGGCCAGAGCCTCGCTTTGCAGGTCGTGGTGCGCCAGCTCCTGAGTCGTGCCAAAGGTGGCTGGTAATTGCTTGTGACACCCACCGTCGGCAGAACACTGTCATGACCGGTAATTACAGGCACTATGACGCCGTGGCGGTGACGTGTCCCCTGACCTGCTGCGCGCGCAGGGCATCTGCGACGGCGCCGGCGCGGTGGTGCTGGCCTCGGAGGCGGCCGTGAAGGAGCACGGCCTGACGCCGCTCGCCCGCCTGGTGGGGTACTCCGTGGCCGGCGTCGAGCCTACCATCATGGGCATCGGGCCGGCGCCGGCCATCCGCAAACTGCTGGAGAAGGCCGGCCTCACGCTCAACGACATCGGCCTGGTGGAGGTAGGGCCCGGCTCTGTCGGCGGCTCGCGCTCACTCGCTGCTCCCGCGGCTGTCCTGTTCCCTGTCTGTCTTCTGGCTTTATCTCGGTGTAGCCTTCTTTGGTTAGAACAATCGCTGACGTGCAGCGGATTAATGGCGGAGTGGCCGTCCTTATTTGTCATATCGAGTGGCTGTATCTTGGCACTGAGGACGTCGGCTCCTGTCTGCTCGCAACCCGTGTGTAGAGTGACTACTCATGTTCCTCGCACAGTCGTGGTTCGTCTGCTTTTTAACTGACCGCGCCGTCCGCTGCCCGGCAGATTAACGAGGCGTTCGCGCCGCAAACGCTGGCGTGCCAGCGCGAGCTGGACCTGGACCCGGCCAAGCTGAACGTGAACGGCGGCGCCATCGCGCTCGGCCACCCGCTGGCCGCCTCTGGCGCGCGCATCACCGCCCACCTGGTGCACCAGCTCAGGTGAGTGCCGCCGCGCCCTGCCGGCCGGCCTGACTCTACTGACGCTGAGTACCCGTGCCGTCAGGGGCAGGTGGTCAGGCGTTTCAGTCGTGATAGCTAGACGAACCACTGGCGGAATGGTTGTCGTGGGGTTAACTGCGCTGCTACAGCGCTGGTGTATGTCGCGGTGGTGGACAGCTTCGGTTGGCTGAAGTCACTGGTCTATCACTTCTGTCGATTACTAGGGTTCCAGTACATAGGTCAGCTGGTGTCGGTGAGGAAGGGCTTGTGCGCGCGTTGGTTGTCGTTTGGTCCGCCTCGCCGCGTCCGATCAGAAGTGTCCCGCTGGCGGCGAACAGCTGCCGTCGCTAACAGCTGCCGTCCCGCAGGCGGCGCGGCGAGAAGTACGCCATCGGCTCGGCATGCATCGGCGGCGGTCAGGGCATTGCCCTGCTGCTGGAGGCCGTGTAAGCAGCTACCGCCGTACTCAGGGCCGGACTGACGGAGTCGTCGGGAAGGAAAGGAATCGACCCTCACTTTTAGGCCGCCTTTTACGAAGGTTTCGGGAGGAATTGTTAAGCTGTTGCGACCTGGCACCTGTGTTGCCTGTGCGACCCGTTCTCCGTCTTTCTACAAATCTTTTACATGCGGCGCAGTCCGACGAAGCGTTCATTCTCCGGTAAGATCATCGGAACGCAGCGTGGTCAGGGCCGGGCGGAGGTCGGTGGAGGCCATCCCTTCGCAGAGACCTGCAAAGGTCCGCAGTTCCGGCCGTGTGAACAGACGCGTCGAGTTTACAGACAACGTGGCGGAACTTGCGGGCGCCATAATGAGTGGATAACGCTTCCACACATGTACAACAGAGAGAACTGATTGTAGTAAGTGAACGTAATCAGGGTTGAATGCAAGGAAAGACGTACCTTGCCGGTCTTGATTGTATGAATGAAAATGTGAGATATTGTTAGGAAAAGGGGTGTAGGAAGTATTGGTATTAACAGGACGTTTACCATCGCGGGGACAGAGTGCAAATATATTGACGCAACAAGCATGCAGTGTTTACGATATACGGCGCTATACGAACGCGGGAGTCAACGCGCGGAGCAACGTCTATGGTCATGTAGAGCAAACAAAACAAGCGACCGCGTTATGGTCGAGCGGCACGGGCACAGCCTGTCGCGATGTCACTTTCAGAACGCTGTCGTCCCCTCCAGCTAACGTAAGCCGACTAGCGCACGGAAGTTGAACGGGCGCCGCGGCCGGCGGCTGGTATGCCGGCTGTGCGGGTCGGCGACGGACTAAGAACGCGGCTTCTGCAGAGCTGGATGCTCTTCTGTCGGTGTCAGCGATGATCGCGGCGGTAAAGCGCCGGGTCTGCGGGGGGTGTCCTGGACCGGACTGGTTGTGTTGTGATTGGTGTTTAAGAGCTCACAGACTGCCGTGGCTGCATGTGTTCATTCAAGCTCCTTTTAGTTATTTTTAGGTCTGCATGTTTTATATTAGGTCTGTTATTATTTGCTATTATTAGGTCTGCTATTATATTGTCTGCATATTAGGTCTGTTATAATTTCAAGCAGGGCTCTGCGAAGGGGCGGCGGCGAGCAGATGTCAGTTATTATTCCCATTGGTCTGCGATGACCACGCTTCGCGCCTGTCTCGAAGTCACCGCCACAAACCTATTGCTTCTGTAACAAGCAGATCCGCTTTTGAACATGCTGCCTCTGTTCGCAACACATTGATAGTGCACATTACAAACCAAGCGGACGTTGATGATACTTCGGGGTGCAGGAGCGCTTGGATTGTAGCGGGCATGTTGCACCCGTAACCAAGCAGACTAAACGAGCCTCGAGCTCTAGCTCATGTACCTAACATCCATTTTTGAACATACTGCCTCTGTTGCTAACACATGTATAATGCATGTTACAAACCAAGTATTGGATGACATGTGGGGATCAGGGGCGATTCCACTGCAGCGGGCATTTTGCATCCGTAGCCAAGCGGACTAAACGAGCCTCTTGGTTGACCAGAACTTACGATAAAATCTCGCGGCTCGCATCTAGCTGTTTTTCTTTCAGATAATCCACGCACGAACCCGATGCAACAATTTAAGTATTACACTCGATTCACCTCGACTAAAACAATACCAAGATACAACTAAAACAACGATGTATGCAGTACGACCTTATATTACTCTCCCAAACACACGAGACTAAACACGCTTTCGATAAACGGAGCACCCCCATGAGGTTGGGCTGACATTTCATAGCGTGGCGAAGTGCGACGGCCAACGACCCAGCATGCAGACACACGAGTGCGACACAGTCATGGCCAGGCGCAGGCCGCGCGCGATATGGCTGGGATATGCGTAAAAGTCACGGGCAGGCGCACGCCGCGCGCGATATGGCTGAGATATGCGTGAGCAATCACGGGCAGGCGCACGCCGCGCGCGATATGGCTGAGATATGCGTAACAGTCACGGCCAGGCGCAGACCGCTCGCGATATGGCTGGGATATGCGTAACAGTCATGGCCAGGCGCAGGCCGCGCGCGATATGGCTGGGATATGCGTAACAGTCATGGCCAGGCGCAGACCGCGCGGGATATGGCTGCGACATGCGCGAGGTGTCACTCGCAGCCTTGCTTCACGATATGGCTATTTGAACACATGTATGGCAAGAAAGCAGGTGTAACCAATGTTGGGAGAGGGACGTGCCACCAGGAATTTTGTCAAATCAACATTTTCCTCCTCATTTTCGTCGCAAAGAGTATGCTTCGCAATTTTCCGGTCAGATTGTGTCCCCCCCCCCCCCCCCCCCACCTCCCCCAGTTTCTCATTTGCCCTCAGCAGTCTATGAAGCGTGGTCACACCCAGGTAGATAAACATTTAAGACCACAAAAACAGCGAAAATGTGACGTCAAAGCCACCTCTGCACGCACACTAGCGGTGACTCCGTGACGGATCTGTAAATATCTGTAAAGGTTCCCAAATCCCAGCACATCGGGACAATGGCTTGATATGGCACAATACTCTGATATGATACACATGGCGAAGAATAAGCGCAAGCTTCACCCATCTCGGCGTGGTAGCACTGACCCACCTAACACCATTGCGTGAAGCTGTGCCCCAGGCATCAGATGGACGTCGGCAACCACACCCCGCGTGTCACGTGCACCCACGGGCACACACACACCGGTTCTGAGTGGCAATACAGCACGAAGATCGTGAAATTCCTCGACGCAGGTGACGACACTGCACTGAACAAACAGTCCTAATTAAAACGGGTTTGCTCACGCACGATTGCCAATACAACCACAAACACTGATAGAGTGTTTGTTTGTGTTAGATAGAGATACAAACAAGCTCTTGGAGCTGTAAAAACTGACCACCCGAGAAACGTCACGAAAGAACTGTTAGTGCAGAAAATTGGAGCAGCTACGCTATGAAGATGCTCTATACGCACAGTACGCAGTCACACATCATCAGCGGGTTAACGACACCTTTGGAGACGTCGGTGAGTGGTAGCTGATGATTACTGACTATCGGGTCGACAACAGGCGACCGAAGAGTGGCGTACGTGCAGTGGTACTCACATTACACTAGTGAGTGCTTCTGGTAACTGGGGCGGAAACGATGCGTTTCTCAACATAATACTTTGTGGTTGTCAGGCTTTGAGTCGCGTAGTGAAACGTAATATCAGTGAACGAATGGCATGCACTGACGACAAAGATATGCGGTGGTGCTTGTGCACACATCAAGTACGTGTGAACGACGCGGTTCTCTTCTCATAACGCAAGTCTGGTCAATCATACCGCGCACAATACCAGTGGTAAGCAATAACATCATTCCTCCATAACATCCATCGCCGAGCCCTGCACTGCGGCGCGGGCAGCCCCAGCCGCTCCGCCGCCGCTGGCCGTGTCTCGCCTGGCCGCCCACCCCCGCCACCCCGGCGCCTGCCTCGGCCGCACCGGTGCCGCGAGCCGTGCCTCCCCGGCCGGTGCCTCGTCTGACCGCCCACCCCGCCATCCTCGGCGCCTGCATCGGCCTCGGCTGCACCGGTGCCGCGAGCCAAGCCTCCCCTGGCCGGAGCTTGCCACATCATCCCTCCGCGGCCGTCCTGGCGCTGGCCCCCGCCGCCGGGCGCGGGGCGACGTCAGGCGCGGCTCACAGCTCCGAGTGCCGCTCCGCCGCCGGCCGTGGCTCCTGCAGCCAGGTGCGGTACACGGCGCGCGGGTCGATCATCCAGTGTTTGTGGAACGACACGGGCCGGCTATGGGTAAGCACCTCGGCCGGGTAGTCGGGCGGCCGCGCCTGTCGACACGGCGAAACGTCAGGCGAGGTCAGGTGACCTGGACGGCACGCGGGCTCGCCTCGGGACAGGGGATGCCAGGTGACCTGGACGACACGCAGGCTCGTCTCAGGACGGGAGGTCAGGTCATCTGGACGGCACGCGGGCTCGTCTCGGGACAGGGGAGGCCAGGTGACCTGGACGGCACGCGGGCTCGTCTCGGGACACGGGAGGTCAGGTGACTATAATGGCACGCGGGCTCGTCTCGAGACAGAGAGGTCAGGTGACTATAATGGCACGCGGGCTCGTCTCGAGACAGGGGAGGTCAGGTGACTATAATGGCACGCGGGCTCGTCTCGGGACAGGGGAGGCCAGGTGACCTGGACGGTACGCGGGCTCGTCTCGAGACAGGGAGGTCAGGTGACTATAATGGCACGCGGGCTCGTCTCGAGACACGGAGGTCAGGTGACTATAATGGCACGCGGGCTCGTCTCGGACAGGGGAGGTCAGGTGACTATAATGGCACGCGGGCTCGTCTCGGACAGAGGGGCAGGTGACCTGGACGGCACGCGGGCTCGTCTCGGGACACGGGAGGTCAGGTGACTATAATGGCACGCGGGCTCGTCTCGAGACACAGGAGGTCAGGTGACTATAATGGCACGGGCTCGTCTCGAGACAGGGGAGGTCAGGTGACTATAATGGCACGCGGGCCCTCGCGGGACACGGGAGGTCAGGTGACTATAATGGCACGCGGGCTCGTCTCGAGACAGGGGAGGTCAGGTCACCGGGACGGCACGCGGGCTCCCGCGGGACACGGGAGGTCAGGTGACTATAATGGCACGCGGGCTCGTCTCGAGACAGGGGAGGTCAGGTGACTATAATGGCACGCGGGGCTCGTCTCGAGACAGGGGAGGTCAGGTGACCGGACGGCACGCGGGCTCGCCGCGGACACGGGAGGTCAGGTGACTATAGTGGCACGCGGGCTCGTCTCGAGACAGGGGAGGTCAGGTGACTATAATGGCACGCGGGCTCGTCTCGAACAGGGAGGTCAGGTCACCGGGACGGCACGCAGGCTCGTCTCGGGACAGGGGAGGTCAGGTCACCGGGACGGCACGCGGCTCGCCGCGGACACGGGAGGTCAGGTGACTATAGCGGCACGCGGCTCGTCTCGAGACAGGGGAGGTCAGTCACCGGGACGGCACGCGGGCCCGCCGCGGGACACGGGAGGTCAGGTGACTATAATGGCACGCGGGCTCGTCTCGGGACAGGGGAGGTCAGGTCACCGGGACGGCACGCGGGCTCGCCGCGGGACACGGGAGGTCAGGTGACTATAGTGGCACGCGGGCTCGTCTCGAGACAGGGGAGGTCAGGTCACCGGGACGGCACGCAGGCTCGTCTCGGGACACGGGAGGTCAGGTCACCGGGACGGCACGCGGGCTCGTCTCGGGACAGGGGAGGTCAGGTGACTAGAAGGCACGCGGGCTCGTCTCGGGACACGGGAGGTCAGGTGACTATAGTGGCACGCGGGCTCGTCTCGGGACAGGGGAGGTCAGGTGACCTAGAAGGCACGCAGGCTCGTCTCGGGACACGGGAGGTCAGGTCACCAGGATGGTACGCGGGTTCGCCTTCGCGGGTTCATGTCATAAATCTGGACAGGTCAAACACCGCCCGGTTCGCATAAGATCGGGTCACCACGTTCGCACTTGGCCATACCACCGTTCAGATGTGAGGCTAGAGGTTGGATGTCATTATACAGAGTTGTGCATTCTCAGAGACATCCCAGGTTACGCCACGGCACGAGCTGCGCCTCCCCAGCTCCCACATCACATGACCACGACCACACGCCACCCGTCAGTCATACAGTTGGCCTGCCTTTCCGCTGACCTGGTGGAAGCGGGGCGAGTGGACGAGCGTGATGCCGGCGGCGGCGGCGCACAGGCCCAGCTGCATGTCGTCGGGCGTGTCGGCCGTCGGGCAGCGGCAGCTCGCGCTCAGCCGGCGCACTGCCTCCACGCTCAGCACCATCCCTGACCGGCCACCGGCACCGCCGTCACCGCACGGCTCGGCACCGGCTCCAGCGCCCAGGCTCGTGTCGCTCCACGAGCACACGGTGGTATAAAGCATATCGCAGACCAACGCAGTATTTGCAGGGATGAGTATGTGAGACCACATAGCTTAAACCTGAAGGGTGTACAGCAAAAAAAAAATCCCCGGCCAGCTACTAAGACGGCAGGACTACAAGCACATTATGCCAGTCCGGTAGGTCTCTCGCATCGACACGCAGGCGCATACAGTGCGTTCGATAAGGGCCAGCAGGTCCCACCTCGCGGCGCTGGGCGCGAGGTGGCCGGATGAGTGGCCGGCGCGCGCCCGACTGACCTCCGCCGCCGGTGATGTAGCTGTAGCCTCCGGCGCCGCCGCCGCCGGAGGTGCGGAAGCCGTACCGCTCGCCTAGCAAGAGCGGCTCACTCGGGCTGTAGCAGGCCAGCAGCTGGTGCAGACGGGGCACGCTGCGGCCGAGCGGACAAGGTCAGGCCGCGGCACAGCACTAGCTCGGGGACCACGGCAGACGGGGCACACTGCGGCCGAGCGGACACGGCCAGGCCGCGGTACAGCACTAGCTCGGGGACCACGGCACGCAAGATGCGCTACGGACGGGTAAGGTGCTGGGACCTGCTCGTAAACTAGTGCTGCAGCCCTGCGACTGGTTCCATGCACTGAGTTGCTCGACGTTCAGGAGCAACGGAGTCTGGGGTCCACGCAGATGGCTGGACGGACGAGGAAGTCAAGCAGCCTTCCATAGAGAGCCAGCAAGTGCATAGGTCATACCAGAGCTTAGAGGCCATGGCTTTGCCGGTGTTCGATCCCGAACCTAAACGGGAGCCGGAAGTGTTAACCACTTGTTCATTACGGAACTGATAACAAAACTGAAGATTAGCGGACAGGTAGCCGACGAGCTCATGACAACAGAGCTTTTCTAGAAAGCTGACCTTTCCTTGTTCTTCAATACTGAGCGTGATGCAAGCACATCTCATGCACCACATATGCGGTGGCGCTCCCTACACCACGGCCTGAGTAGCACACTGACCCGGCACGTGCCGCCTCTCCAGGGAGTGGGCGAGCGTCGCCTTATCCTCTGGTGCTCCCACACCCCAGCCAGAGTGGCACACTGACCCGGAGCGTGCCGTCTCTTCTGGGAGTGGGCGAGCGTCGCCTTATCCTCTGGTGCTTCCACACCACGGCCTGAGTAGCACACTGACCCGGCACGTGCCGTCTCTTCTGGGAGTGGGCGAGCGTCGCCTTATCCTCTGGTGCTCCCACACCACGGCCAGAGTGGCACACTGACCCGGCACGTGCCGTCTCTTCTGGGAGTGGGCGAGCGTCGCCTTATCCTCTGGTGCTCCCACACCACGGCCTGAGTAGCACACTGACCCGGCACGTGCCGCCTCTCCAGGGAGTGGGCGAGCGTCGCCTTATCCTCTGGTGCTCCCACACCCCAGCCAGAGTGGCACACTGACCCGGAGCGTGCCGTCTCTTCTGGGAGTGGGCGAGCGTCGCCTTATCCTCTGGTGCTTCCACACCACGGCCTGAGTAGCACACTGACCCGGCACGTGCCGTCTCTTCTGGGAGTGGGCGAGCGTCGCCTTATCCTCTGGTGCTCCCACACCACGGCCAGAGTGGCACACTGACCCGGCACGTGCCGTCTCTTCTGGGAGTGGGCGAGCGTCGCCTTATCCTCTGGTGCTCCCACACCACGGCCTGAGTAGCACACTGACCCGGCACGTGCCGTCTCTTCTGGGAGTGGGCGAGCGTCGCCTTATCCTCTGGTGCTCCCACACCACGGCCAGAGTGGCACACTGACTCGGCACGTACCGTCTCTCCAGGGAGTGGGCGAGCGTCGCCTTATCCTCTGGTGCTCCCACACCACGGCCAGAGTAGCACACTGACCCGGCGCGTGCCGTCTCTTCTGGGAGTGGGCGAGCGTTGCTAAATCCTCTGGTGCTTCCACACCACGGCCAGAGTGGCACACTGGCCCGGCACGTGCCGTCTCTCCTGGGAGTGGGCGAGCGTCGCCTTATCCTCTGGTGCTCCCACACCCCAGCCAGAGTGGCACACTGACCCGGAGTGTGCCGTCTCTCCTGGGAGCGGGATCCTTTTGCGCTCCCTACGCCAAGGTCAGAGTGGCACACTGACCCCGGGCGTGCCGTCTCTCCGGGGAGCGGGCGGGCGCCGCCTCACCTGAGCATGGTATCGTCGTCGGCCACCACCAGCCAGCGCAGGCCAGCGACGGCGGCCGAGCGCTGCAGGATGCGCAGCGTCTTGGCGCAGTGGCCGCGCTCCGTGTTGGCGACGCCCACGCTGATGGCGCCGTAAAGCTCGTCTGGCGGAGCCGGCGCAGGCGTCAGCAGCAGGCACGGTCTGGCCCGCCGCGGCAGCAGGCTGTCCCGCCCCGTACGTCAATGTAACAGTGCCATACAACATTTCGATCCACCAGAAGGTCCGTCTATTCAGGGTGATGCGGTAATGCAATATCTACCATGATCGAACACAGGGCTTTCGCATCAGTTGCGGCAATTCTAAAACGGTTCCACGCATCAGTTTTAAAGCTTCTTGCCAGCTCGCCAAAAACACGTTAGATATCCTTCCGAATTATCCACCTGGGTTTGAGCCGGCAAGGCTTAGCTTGCAAAGGCAACATGCTCGATGCAGATCGTCGCACTGTTCCGATACCGACGGAGCACTCGATCTGCCCGCACATCCACCGCTCCCGTACAGCCGGCGCCTGTTCATCATCGGCCGCCGGCGACCTGCGGAGCGGCGCGAGCGTCCCTCGACTCTAGCTGTACCTGCCTCGTCGCTGTAGTAGCGCACGTGGACGGCGTCCCGGGCCCAGGTCTCGCGCACTACAGGCAGGCGGCTCTTGTGGAACTTGGCACACGTCTTCACGGCGTAGTGCACCGATGAGGCGTCCAACTCTCCCGACTGATGACGGCGGCGGAGTCATTGCGATAGTGTTGGGAAATGTGTTCGTGTTCTTATTCACACTCGTGCATGTCGTGTCCATCCATGCAAGCTCAGTTCTTTTAGAACATCACGTACAACATATAAAAACAGCGGGAAGCAAAAAGTAAAAAACGACCCGCGCAGACTGCACAGATATTCACGTTGCTTGTTTAATCTGTGATTTCGGCACGTCCAAAAGCAGCGGTCGACGGCACATCGTTGTCAGAAAAGAAAGCCTGAGCCGGAGGGCAGTAATAATCAACAAATAAGTCACCACCTACCATCACTTTACACTTATGATCGCAGCCATCTCAACGTTTCAGCACTATCCAACAGCACGCAAGGTTGGAGACGTTTGTTCATTGATACCAGAGGTAGCTCTATCCACATCCCATACTTCTGAGCGCGTCAAGGCAAAATGCATGTGTGCCTGGGCGCCCAGTCAGGGCACACTCCGCCGCACCTCCGCCCGCCCTGACACTAGCCGGCCCCCGGGTCGTCAGCGCGCGGTGGCTGGCCCGACGACCGCTCACGCGAGTCCACTCACGCAGGCCGGCGGCGGCCGCTGCTCGGTGGCGCAGCCGGCGGCGGGCGCCACGCAGAGGGCGCCACTGTCGCTGAGAGACGGCCCCTCGCCCTCGCGCCACGCAAACAGGGCCAGCTCGTGCATCGGGTCGATGGAGAAGTCGACCGGCGGTGCAGGCAGCTGCGAGTAGCGCCGCGCCAGACTGGCGCACACGGCCGGCACACGACTTCAGAGGGGACCCACGTCCGGGGTACTCACTCACAACACGTCCGGGGTACACACTCACGACACGTCCGGGGTACTCATTCACGACACGTCCGGGGTACAGTTCAGCCGAGCGAGACGCGCCCAGAACCCGTTCGGTGGAAACGGATTGGTCTGAGAACAATTCAGCATCGGATCGTGGAGGAGTATTATGAAGAAACACGATCCGTTAAACATAAAAGCTTATGTGCATGCCCCCTTCAATTGTAAACCCAAAGGTGTTCGATGAATGAACATCAGCGTTAAAATGCAAAAAGTTCAGACTGGGGCGCAATTAATCATTGGGGCAGTTCACAAGTGAGGAGTCACAACCAAAAGTGTTGGTGCCGTGACCCCGACAGGAGCCAGGTCGGACACAAATGTCGGGGTACACCCCGTCACGCGACGCGGACATGCGGTGGTGCCCCACCTATTGAGCAGGGAGACAGACATGAGTAGGCCGGCCGCCAGGTCCGGGTACGCGAACCGGCCCGGGTCGTCATGGAAGGCGAAGTGGTGCACGATGGTGGGCTCGCGGTCCCGCAGCGACCGGCCCAGGAGCACCTCCTGCCGGGCGGGGCGGCGCACCGTCAGAGCAGCGGACGACAAAACGACACAGAACCACAGACAGGCAGGACCTGGAGTGGAGGACCAGCGCGAGGAGTGCCAGGGTGGGGCCCCGCGGGGCGGCGGTGCACTGGCTGACGCCACGACCACGAATGGGCCTTACACGGCGAGCTGCAGACCAACTGAAGCGACGCGAGGCAGCAGCAGAAGGCGCTGCTGAGATTAGACTCAGCAGTAGGCACTGTGAGAACAGACTCTGGACCAGGCGGTCGATGAAGAAACGAATGATCCGGCCATGAGCATGGTAAACAGAGGACGTGTCGAACAGTCACAGACATACCGAAAACACATGGTTTGACAGAACGCACGGTGAATTACCACCACAGCTTTGAGTTTGTTAGCACATCAGCATACACTGAGCACGGTGATGGCGAGCATTGATGGAGCACGATGTACCATGAACGTACCTGGTCGGGACTGAACTTGGACAGAAGAGAAGCCATGGGTGCTGGCTTGATATGTGTGCCTTCAGTCCCAAAGAAGAACCAGGATGCATTTTGTCCATGCCTTCTTGACAAGCTGCCACAAAGAGCATGGTGATACCCTACATGAGCAGCATTGCAATGCAAGCATTATAACAGAAAGGAACATTCAACATTGATAAATGGTTGTGTTTGCAACTAATAATTTAAATTAAAAGGTCATATTGGAAAAACCCGTCAAAAACATATGACTATAAATATGTGTATAAAACATACATGCAACAATCACATGCTGCACCAGATACCACAATGTGCTAAGATCTTTTTGTGAAGGCTTACAGCCAGACATGTCTGCTGTAGTCAGCAATATTCAGACATATGTCTGCAATGGCTCCAGAGTGTACAATGTTCCCAACTTTTAGTGTTATATGTGCATCTTGGTTGCATGGGTTTTTGAACACAAACATAATGTGTCTTAAAGATTTAAGGAGGAATGCTCTTTTAAATTGGAGCATATGACTAAATAGACATTCCGATTTCTGAAGGTATCTGGCAAACATGACCCATTTCCCAAGTCATGATCCAGTACAATCGACCAATGTGTCTAACTGTAGGCACCTGCCACATCCTGTAGGCAGCATTGTAAGCACTTGGATTTTGCAGGCAAAATACCTACATGGGTAGCAGGGGAAAGATGGTCCAGTAGTGGATGTCATGGAAGTCCTCATGTGCCAGATGAACAACTGGGACAGACTGGAAAGTAAGGGCAAATGTCTTACTTGGGGGTAAGCACTGGTCCTGTTCATCTCGCTACACAAGAGATAGCATGGCCTTTGCCCATCTTATGTGCATGCACCCACAAGTACATGCACATTTGTACATACACATACACATAGTATACATGCATGTACATACACATGCACACCAGTAGACATGCATGCATACATATCATGGCCTTAAAAAAACATTTAATTTAAACCAAAAATGCTATTTTGCTTGCAAAGTCACTGCAGCCACCAGACTTTCGGTTCTCTATGATGGCATCACATTCAATAAGATCAATGATGATTACCACTTCTCCTTCAAGTATGCAGTCAATGAGCTATCCACACACATGTTTGGAAGAATCACTTAGAAACCCAGGTGAATTAGGCACCATATCAACCAAAAATATTCCATTGATGACACTGGCTAATATTTTGAGACTACAGCTTGAAAATGTACATACACAAGACCACAAGTCCTACAGTTGTAGGTGTGAGCCATTGCACAGCTGGATTTTCACCTTTCCCAGCAGTGTGTGTGGTCACCATCCATTAACTGCTGACAGATAAGACCAGGCAGGGCAAAACTGGGCAACAGGCTGTACAGACTGCAGCTACCAGTGAAAACAGTGCATCAGGCAATAGCTCCCAATTGAAGGCATAATTTTAGGTGCAGTCATGATGGGACCAGGACTATAATTTTGCCACATTTCTTACATTTGGGAACCTGAATGGACCAGTCATGAATTAAATTGATGGATGATATGCTACAGAAGATATCTGACATAGCCTAGACATCATAAAATAGGACATGACTGTCCTATTATATGTCATGTCATGTAATATTATGTCATGATTGTCATGACAGTATTCTAATAGGCTGATAAGATTGAAAGCATTGCAAAATTTATGAACCAAAATAATATACTCTTTGGTATGCAATGCTTATAAAAAAGACTGTCCAGATACAATATATTGAAAAGGCACAAAGGAGGGTGAAAGGGTATCAAGGGGTTAAGTTGCTGGACCAAGTTACATTAATACCAGTCAGGGTAACTGATCTTATGTCACTTACTGCCTCATGTACCTAATGTTATGTTAGAGCTTAACCACACCATGGACCATAAGCACTATCATAGCTTGATACCTCCAACTCTAAGCTAACCAATTTGGAGAAAAGGCTAAGTCTGATGTCCAAACTTCTGTTCTGGAATGAGCAGTTTCAAAACAAAATGATGCATTATTGTGCTTACTATGTTCTGTGATATGCAGTCACTAAGAAGCAAATATTTTGATGATGTTGCTTGCTGAATATGATATGGATTCTTTTGACTGAGAAAAGTTATGACCAGTTCTTGCAGCCCTGCAAAGCCAAGAGTATGATGTCATCAGTCATATGCAATAGTGCACATTATTACATTCTTAAACATATAAAGTAAGGACTGTGACAACCATAACAAAAGCCACACATAGTAACCATCTATACAATGGGATAACAGCACCATTAAAAGATGACCAAGATAACTGAAAATGGACATGAATTTACAGGTATAAAAATAAAGTAGTATGAACATTCCCTCACAGACATGAGCTAACTTTCATTGTAACATTGGGAAACTCACACTATATGGCCAGCCCCTACATATCGACAACACCTATCTGAAAACACACTGCAAATTGTGCGTGATTCACCAGCATGATTAAATATTCACAATGCACTAAAAGCATGCATGAGCATCCAAATACGGCATTGATAAAATAGATTCATCCCACAGGAATTACCTCCATATGAAGCAGGAATGGAGAGCATCAGACAACAGAGGATGACAAATGGATACACCATTATGGGACGAGTCATTGGGCCATAGACCCAATTAGGCTTCTGTCCCTGAAACCCTCATACCTGATCCCTTCCATATAAATATTTCAGTTCATTGGTGCAACTATAGCAATAGAAATGGCAAGGAAAGGGTTTGAACAACTCTCTGGTGTCGTGAATTTCTAAGAAACGATGCCCAAACCAGACATTTCTGAGAGCAAAATGATATGGAATAACCGCAGTGTTGCAACCAATACCGTGTGCAAAAACTTTGCTCTTTTCGAAACAGGTGCGTGGTTTTCCCGCCAGCTAAGAGCTACCAAATTTTGGTGGTTGCATGTTTTGCTGTTTTCGGCAAGATGTCGTGCTGTTAACCGTTAAAATGACGCCTTACAGCTGCGCTATGGGGTAAATATTAAATCAGTTACAAGATAAAGCCTTTCCATCTATCATAGCCGTCAAGTAGCAGCCAGGCACGTCATCTTGGATGTATAATTTGACAAATGAAATCAAAATGCCCCGAACAGTGTCAAGGCTTGAAATTTGTTTGGACTACCTTGCTTTGATTGGTGCATTGCATATTTTTTCACAATATTTAAATCAAAGTTGTGTAAGAGTCATGCTGTGTCGGCTAATGCATTTTGAGGACAACCCTTAATGTCGTGCAAAGAATCCTCTAACATTTCTGTCCTCGATCATGACGTCATTTTCATAAACCTTGCCATTCGACACCTTTGACGTCAAAAACTAATCACGACGAAAGGGTGTACGCGTATTTTCACGGAGGAGTCCCCGGCTGAATGTTTGTATAGATGGCATCTTCGTCGCGTGTTAAAGTGAAATGCGCGGTGCGTAGAGCCGGTGGCCCGACGGAGATTGGTGGGGTAGATTGTTAAGGCGAAATTTGTGGTAGCGGAACGTGCTTGAAGATCGTGATTGTGGAAGAAGTGTTTCTCAGACTGATCGTTGTGGGGGAGACTGGGGCAGCAAGTTTGAGAAGGTCGTCTGGTGGTCGCCATATCAGGCTCCGGTCTCAAGTTTGGCCTCGGTACCTATGATGGTCCTTTTCCTGGTTGAAGGAGGAATTTGGTGATTTAGACTTGAACTAAAATTTGCTTGAATTAAGCCATGTCAATTGATTTGAGGACCCACGAAGCCAAGCTGGTTGCAGCGTGGAAGGATGTCACAGATGATAAAACTGCAACAGACTGGTATGTGGATGAGCAACTTGATATCACCTGTGATTTATGTGATTGTCTGTCCCAGTTTGGCACAATATGTCTTTTTTACATGTTCATGCATCTATGATCATCTTGCAAGCAATCCCATATTTCATAAGTCATGCAAAGTGCATGTACCAGAATATAAACTCAAGAAGATAAATAATTGGTGTCCTGATGTTTTCTTTGTCCATTGTGATTGTTTTTTGTCAGAAGTGCCTATTATGTGTGGCATGTCCATTTCCTCTCCTTTGCAGGGCACTATTTGGATATGATGGGCACTCCAATACACTCAAGGTTGTCTCCACTGGGGATGGTGGACTGACAGAGTTAAGCGAGGATTTGAACAGTAACCAAATAATGTACGGGTTCTGCCGCATGATGGATCCAAAGACCAGCCTTCCCAAATATGTGCTCATCAACTGGGTAAGTAAGGCCTAGAAGTCATCAAGCATTTATTGTGTTGCCTTTTGAAATGATTGATTATCATGTGGCAATCAGGGAAGTCTCAGCAATGTGTGCATACTAGAGTTGAAGAAAAACCAGGTTCATCATTGTACAGATATATTATCTAGGATTGGCCCATTAAATTACTTTGGATGTTTTCTTGAGGCTTTCTTGGAGCAGCACTTTGACTAACTGCTGGTCAGTTGCACTTATCTTAGTAAAAAATGGAACTAGGTGCAGTCTTTTTTATTTGTCATGCTTATGGTTTTAATTTTTGGCTAGAAAATTAAGAATGTCTTAAAGTTATAAAGTTGGCTATTAGATATGTTACTTGTGTAGCAGCTTATCCAAGAAGAGCATCCAGGGGCCAGGCAGCCCTAAATATTCAGAAGAACCCCTGAGGCTTGAAGGTTGTCATATAATTTAAAAGCAGCATTTTTACAAAATAACAAGCATAGGTGAGTAATGATAGGCATTGCATGGCTGTAGGAATGTTATAAATTAATATTGTTTCTATATGTCATCTGGTGCTGAAAAGAAGCTAGTAGGATTGTAGCTGATCCAAGCTAGTTTCATCCTTATCCCATCATTCTTGGTGTCTGATACCTTTGGGCTCAGTTATCATGCACAGGTTCTGGATCTGGGTGGTGTTGGCACCTAAATTGTCTAAGCAAAAGAAGCCATGTTGCTATGCCTGCCCCCACCCCCTACCCCCTACCCCCTACCCCCCTACCCCCTACCCCCTACCTCCTACCCTCTACCCCTCCCACACCCCTGGATGGCACATACATCCATTCTGGAGGCCAGATGCATTCTGAGAAGCATGGGATTTTGTAAGGCAGACAGCTTTCATGTTTGTGGGTTGATATTGTTCAAAGTGTCTCCAAAGTGTGAGAATGTACAAAACATGATCTGACTGGAAAAGTGAGCCATCAATACATAGAAAGGCCTTAAACAGGGAGCATGTAAAAAGGGCCTTGGAATATGAAAAACTTGGTCAGATTTCATCCATGGGCAAAAACCCAGGTACACTATCAGGCATCTTACACTGTCAAGGATTATTTTAACTTTTTAGTAGAGAGAGACTGCACCGCCTCCAGTGGGAGGAGCATATGCCTCCAGTTCTGCCATTAGGGACAGTTATGTGTTTTCCTCCTCAGTTGGTGTATGTTCTCTAGGATCAGATGTTAACAACAGGTTGATATTCATGAATGGTGGGGATGGCCTGCAAAGTTTAGACTTACCATCATCAACATGGTGACTACAGAGGAGCTACTCAACTGTCCCAGACACCTGCACTCCCATGTGTCAAGCTTGATGGGGCTTTCAGGCCAGTACATGTGAGCATGGCAAGATGCAGGCTGGGGAGGAAGGCTGTCCTGCTTTGTGGGGGTGTTCTGGTACCCACAGACTTCCAGGCAGGCACATGCAGTGGAGTATTGTGGGACTCTTAAAGTTCATGCATGGTACGTCATCACACTTCGAGTGCCCGCTGTCACGTCGCGTGCTTGTTCGCAGCAAGGCGAGGGGGCGCCGATGACTCGGAAGGGCTCATGCACGAACCACATGCGTGACGTGGCCGCCCTGCTGCACGGCCACCACGTGACGGTGCAGGCGCGCGACGAGGACGAGGTGGACGAGGAGGCCATCCTGGAGAAGCTGGCGCGCGCCGGCTCGTCCGTCTACAACTTCCGGCAGCGCTCGACCGAGACCAGTCCGCAGACCAAGCCGGTGGTGAGCGCGGCGGCGGCGCTGGACACTGGCGGTGGCCGACATCGAGCGGGCGAGCGCTGCCCGTGGAGTGGCTAGGCGGCTATGGTAGTGCTGAAGGAAACCGTGTCAAATGTGATGCCTCAAATAGTTTTCGTCGTGTTCTGTATTTGTTACCAGTCGAAGTTATTCTGTATTCGTGCTGCCCCGAACGTGATATGTCTTAAGCGTCCTTGTTGTCGTCTTGTGCCTTTTTGGGATCACTTCTCGCTTTGTCTTTATGTGCTTCCATGACATCCTTTTCACACAGAGACTCGCCACGTTGTACGTGCCATCCCGAGTCTTCAGCGCGAGCCTCGCTTCGCAGGGCTCTAACTACCGACGCATCGTGCCGGCGGCCGAGATCGACCTGAGCGCGCGCGACCGGTTCTGGGAGCAGCAGGAGCAGGAGGAGCGCCAGCGCCAGCAGGAGAGGAGCTGCGCCGCGCCGGCGACGAGAAGGCCCGGCTCGAGACCGAGCGCAACCGGCGCGAGGTGGGCTGACGACGGGAGGTCGGAGCGGGGGCGGGCTCCGGCTGTAACGGCAGCAGCTGGCGGCGATGTGCTGTGGAGGGTGCTGGGGTCGTATCCGTTTCCAGACCACTTGTGTCGTCAGCCGAGCTGGGGCGAGCCGCGGCGAGATGGCGCCACTTGCCGCTGCATGTTACGTGGCTGACATCGCCGCATCGGCACTGCTGCTATGGCCGCCATACAGCGCGCCGCTTCCAGCGCTGTCTTGCTGACGGCGCCTTGCCCTCAGATGGACGAGGCCAGGTCGCGCGAGCACCAGGGCGCTCGAGCGGAGCCGCAGCATCAACGAGGCCCGCCAGGCGGAGCGTAAGGCAGAGCGCGTGCTATCACAGAGCGACCAGGAGGCGGCGCGCTGGCAGGAGCACCGCGAGCAGGACCGGCTTGACGAGGAGGAGCGCAAGCACCGCGCCGACCGACTCCGGATGGAGCGCAAACAGGTGGGTGGCGGCGTGCCGGCGTGGCCGAGGGTGCCAAGCGGCGGGACACGTCGGGTGGCGGACGGGGCGGAGTGCGGCGTGGCGTGGAGCAGGTCACAGGGAGCTACAGCATGGGAACACTGTCGGAAGACTGGCCTACGTTTGGTTCGCTACGTCGTCGGCGGTCCGGGGCAGGGTGCGACAGCTAATCACGACTCACCTCCCCCCCCCCTTGTGGCCCGTGTTTCGGCACCTGCCGTAACCCGCTGATCACGGCTTACCTTCCCACCCCCCGAGGCTCGTGTTTCGGCACGTGCCCGCTGACCACGGCTCACCTCCCCCGCCCCTCGTGGCTCGTGTTTCGGCACGTGCCGTGACCGGCTGACCACGGCTCACCTCCCCGCTCCTCGTGGCTCGTGTTTCGGCACGTGCCGTGACCCGCTGACCACGGCTCGCCTCCCTGTGGCTCCCTTGTGGCTCGTGTTTCGGCACGTGCCGTGATCCGCTGACGGTGGTCTTCCGGCTGTCCCGGCAGGAGGCGCAGCAGCTGATCGGGCACCGGACGGGCGCGGCCCGGGCCGTGTTCGAGAGCCACACGGCCGCTGGCCAACTGACTAGCCCCACCAGCCCGGTGGGCGGCGCGTCCGGCGGCGTGGCGCGCCGCTGGCCCGCCCGTCGCCGCCTCACGTGAGCCCCCCCCCCCCTCCCTCTTCAACCCGCACCAGTGCGGGGGTGAGCTGGCACCTGGCGTCCCGACAGTGAGTGGGCTGTGGGAAGAACGTGATCTTCAACTTCACAGAAGCGGTCGCATGCCGGTGCCGCTACATCCCCCGTGTGCAGGTTCATGGAACGTCCACAGAAAGACACGAAACATAACACATAGGTACAAGGAGAACGGTGCTGATGGAGCAACGTACGCACTATAAGTCGCTGAACGATATGCTTTGCAACGCGAACACTGCTCAGCCTCTGATCCACTTCCTCAGCAAAGCCGAGCCTTGCAACAGCGTAGTTAAGTCACGCAAGGTGCAACGGGTGGACTCTCGCGTCGACTCGTCGCGTGGGTTTTGTATCTAATGTTTGCTTAAACTGACCAGGATAAGACCGCTATCTTGCCGAGTTGTGCGTGGCTTTA